GAATACAGACCACTTCGAATTATTTTGTTCGATTATGGTAACGTGCCTATCACGTTGAGGTGAGCTACGCCGGGATTCGTTTCAGCAAGTAGATATCCATATTTTTAAATGGACCTTGTTGGAGCATATGTAATCCTCAAATGTAGCATCGTACTACAGATGGCGCTCACCACGCCATTTGTAGTATTTTCTAATAGTTCATGTCTTCACGGAGAAAACTAAATTTTTATGACAACGCAAAAATTACAATTTTCGATTGTAAATGACTGAATTTGTTGTAGAAGCAGTAGAATTTATTAGGTAACTTGTAATAATCTCAATTTTGACATATTTCATTAAAAATTATTTCAACTTTCTTAATTATTACAATTAAATTTCTAATATCAACTAAGATACTTAATAAATTTATTTCTGCTGGGATTTTTTTAATTTTTTTTATTTGAGATCATACAATTCTCATCGAGAAGAGTTATTGTATCCCTTCTCATTCTAGAGATATGACATTAAAATTAAAAGTATAATTTATAAATTTATTTTTACAAATTCGGGTCCTTATTATTTTTGCTACGAAGCAACGGGCTAGTGGAATAAATTGTAGATATGGCTTTAATATTTACGCAAATTTTCCTTTTTCATTTGCTCCGTGTTTTTTTTTTAGCGGGCTTTTCATTAAATTCTACCCTTACCAACGTCCCAAACCTTACTAAATCCCGTTCAAAAGGTCGTTTAAACACCAAACCAATGAAATTTTAATAATTATTAATATGAATTTTCGGGTTTGTTACACACTGTAAACTACCTCAGGTTAATTTTCATATTAACAACCATTAAAAAATGTCAAAGTGTTTCAGATAAATAGAAATTTGAGTTCTTGGTTCACAGATTTTCAACGAGATGTTGAGTTGATACTGTAACCAGAAATACCAACAAGCGACAGAATTTGTAACAGTTCAGCTATAGTGATGTATTACTGGTCATGAGAAAAAATAAACGCTAGAATTACATCTAAATAACAAATAATTTAGTATAATAATCAATAAGAAATACAAATTACAAACGATCAATTCCAATTCAGTTTTAATTACCTATTTTCACTAGGTAGTTTTTTTGTTATACATTAAATTATTATTGCTGGTATTTGTTTTTTGTTTTATCTCTGGTACCCGGTCGAATCCTAAAGAAAATGATGGATCCTCCGGGTAGGGTTGCCACCCGTACTTTATTATACGAGGGTGGATTGATAAGTTTCCGGCCTAACCAAGAGATGACGCCACTAGGCCTACCTTGAGGTGACATTCTATAGTACCATCCTTGGATAGCTTGTAGCTATAGTTTCAGCCCGATCTCCTTGCTAGTGTAGGTTTGACAGCACNGAAGAGAATAAACAAGCAAATGAAGGGCAATTGACTTACATTAGTTTAATAAATCTACATATTGAAATTGATGGTAAACAGCCTGTACCATGTACTTCTACTCACTTAATAAAGTTTAAAAAGGACATATCATAGTTGAGAAAATAAGTAATTGAATATTTATATTAAAAAAAATATAGATATAGTATTTATATTCATTACTTAAAATAAAGATTATACCTGAATATCGTTGAGGTCTTTAAAAAGCTGTTTAGACCTACACTAGTTTCATTTGATTTATTTTACTGTCCTCTTTCCATTTATTGCTAATTTAATATTTGTATTTCAAAAATAAGACATTTTACTTGAAATTATATAATATATTATAAATTTAGTCTACTTATTGTTATTTCGATTGAGCATCTTAAAATTTTTCGGAAAAGTCATTAAACCTGAATAATCTATATACATGTTTTAATTTGTTTTTCTCGTTTTGCTGATATTGTTGGTAAACAAAGCAGGAATACAATGGCTCATTACATAACGACTTTCATTTTTATTTGTTTATCGCTTTCCTGATATTATTTAGTAGGTCTCAGAATATAGAAGCTCATGTAGATCATCATATACAATGAAAAACGTTGTTCAATATTGCAGTAGTCGAGAAGTGCTGATAATAACATTTATTTATTATTTAAACTTATTCATTGTTTGTTTTGTTTTCATATGCATGCGAAACAAATCCAACTACCAGTTTAGATCAAAATAATATTCGTAAAGAAATAAGTTTTTCTGGAATGAACCATGTGCTTTCCTTTTAGTTTATTTTATAAATAAGTTTTTATTCCACTTATTTGAGCACATATCTAAAAAAAACTTGTCCAGAAGGATAACAACAATTTTACCTTTCCCTTCATTTTCCATCAAAGTTTTCTGGAAAATGAAAGAACACTTACTTCATATCTGCGGTGTGATAAAATCCACCAAGTTGCATTTTTTTACTGAATGTTACAATGTCTGGAGGAGACTTCAGATCGAAGTGTTCATGGCACCACATTTTTCCTGTCGCACCACCTCCTGTTTGAACTTCATCGATTAATAATCCAACGCCGTTCTTCTTGGCGATTTGTTGTAATTTTTGAAAGAAAGAAGGCGATCCTTCATTGTCACCACCTTCTGCTTGAATTGGCTCTACTATAATTCCTGCCACAGGAATTCCTTTTTTCTCATATTTCTCTATTAATTCTTCCACTTCTGCTAAACATTTCTCATCTTCTTTCTCGTTTTCCCTTATATATTCAGAGAGAGGATATTTGTAACTTGGAAAATGCGCAATAGGCCAATCAAACGCAGGTATGTCAAGTTTGTGGATGGCTTTTGAATGTGTCGTGCTGAGAACGCCCAAAGTCCTGCCGTGGAAAGCTCCATGGAACGAAAGAATGGAAAGTTTTGGCGAACCTGGTGGCAAATTAATCATACATGATTGTTTCTCCTCTGCTGAAAAATCCCTAGTATCTCCTCGTTTTTTTCTTTGGTATGCTATAAATAAATTCTTAATGGCGTTTTCGTTTGAACAAGAACCACACATCATGGTCATTATGTCCGGCAAACCATGGGGTGCTACCTAACGAAAGTCGCTGTGAGAATCTAATTATAGGTATATACATAAAATATATTAGTATGCATATATTTAGGTGCCTACCTTGAGGAGTACATCTCTTAATTTTTTTGGCCAATCTTCACCTGGAAAAACACCCAACGCGGGCCTATTTATTAGCGATTTCTACAACATTCAATACTATTATGTGGATGACTTATTTAAAAATAAACCCTTAATGTAATTTTACGAGAGTGTGCTCTTTGGAAAAAGCTCCTAGTAGGTCCGGATGGTTGTAACCTAATGGAATTGAAGATATTTGTGTGTACACGTCCAATAACACGTTTCCATCTACATCTACTAGGTAATTTCCGACACTTTTGTCATAGTTTGCAAAAATTTGAACTGCTCCAGCTTGCTGAAAATTGTGAAGAATGTGAGTTTTCTTTTTGTTAATGAAGAAGCAAACAATCACTTGTATATTCTAAATTTTACGAGCAAGCGCTATTAAGGATTTAAAATAAGTAAGATAATTGTAAAAATAACTAATTTGAAGTAATGTCATAATTTAATTATTATGCATATGTAAGCATATTTACATTTATTGGCTTAAGTATACGAAATTAATATTCTTAAATCGTAATTAGCGTTTTTGAAAGTTGTTTCTAATATTGAAGATACCAGAACATTTTGAAATCAATTTCATGCTTTATTGATTTTTGATTGGAGAGCAAAATAACCTTCTTTTTAGCCTCCGTGGTGAATAATTGAGAGTATATTACTTATTACAAATAAAAATGAAATATTATTTTGATCTCATCACGAAACTAATATTTTTTTATATGAAATTATGAAAAAATTGCTCAAATGTTATCGTATTGTTGATATGTTATTTACTGGAAATCATCTACAAAAAATAATAAGTAACATTTACATGCTCCAAATGTCAGCTAATTTATTCGTTAAATTGTTATTATTCATTTACACATATAACTAATCGAAAAAAGTAATAAATTTTAACTTAAAATTGATGAAAATATTCATACATGTATAGCAGCTGCTAAATTGATCTCTTTTAGAAGAGAATAAACAAGCAAATGAAGGGCAATTGACTTACATTAGTTTAATAAATCTACATATTGAAATTGATGGTAAACAGCCTGTACCATGTACTTCTACTCACTTAATAAAGTTTAAAAAGGACATATCATAGTTGAGAAAATAAGTAATTGAATATTTATATTAAAAAAAATATAGATATAGTATTTATATTCATTACTTAAAATAAAGATTATACCTGAATATCGTTGAGGTCTTTAAAAAGCTGTTTAGACCTTGGTCCAGGTATTTCTGTATGAACAGTAGGTCCCGAAGGCTCTGGAAGATTTGAAGACGAGGTTTGTGCATATCTAGCCAAATCTAAACAAATTAATACCTAAGAAAAGTGCTTTTTATTTTTACATTCAAAAATTTCAAGCGAATTAAATTACGATA